ATTCTCTTCTTGAAATCTTCTCTAATTTCAGGTGGGATATGTTCAAGGGCTTATTTTAGCTCTCATGGACTTACTGTCTTCAACTTCATCCTTAAACGCCATATGAGCAATTGATGGCTCCACAGTCTGCCAGTGGTCTTGTTTTGACTGATGATATGGAGCTTTTCCACAGATACAGTCAATTTGATTTTGGTGTATTTCCATCTGGTGAAGTCCATGTGTATAATCATTTTTTATGTTTTTTATGAAAGGTATTTCATTTTATGTTGTTTCCAAAACGTATTTGCAATGAAGAAATCACTGACGTTATTGAAGAGTATAGTAGAAAACTTAGATGAAAGTGTTTTGGTGATAAAATTGCATCACAATACCTTTATTTTGATCAACTCTAGTGTGGCGTGGGTTAATGCGCCAGACTGCAAAGCTGTTTGAACTGCAAGGTCGGCGGTTCAAGCTCACCAGTTACTCCTCGGAAACCCTATACAAGGTCGCTATGGGTCGGAACCAACTCAACGCACTTAACAAAAATAACAGTAAAAACAAGCCTATTATAACTGCTTTAACAACAGTTTGTTTTGGTATCTGCTTCTGTTGAATGGCCATTTGTCAACTTTGTACATGGTCACTTTTAAAAGTGTACAAGGATTCTCATTTCCCAGATCTTTCCTTGTAATATTTTAGAATTTATGTTTTTCATTGCTAGCACATTTTATTTAGAAAAGAATGAGAGATTATTTTTCATAAATTTATTTAGTACTCTTCCTGCAAAAAATGTAATTTTCTCCTGAAATGTAACTGTGTTCATGAATTATATACAGTACTTGCGTCTGTTCGCTAACAGTTTACACAAAAATTTCAAAGATTATTCTAAAGACTGCCCTCTAGAGGCAGCACTGTTGAACTGAAAACACTTGCTTTTAGGTATGTAGACAATCTGACTATATCCTTCACTTCTAGGATAGATGAGTGTATGCCATGTACTAGATATTTTACTAACACTGGATGCAGAGAAATGGGAAAAGCTCTGTCCTTTTTTTGTCAATAAGCTCACAGGCTGACAAGCATAGGAAAAATGAATGTATTTATTCCTGAAGGGAGTAAAGGAGAAGTAGCTACACAGATAAGCTTGTGCAGTGGAAGAGATATCAGGAAATCCTTCAAAGAACCAGTGATGTTGAGATACGTTTTGAGAGATTAATAGGAAAAAACCCCAAGGAAATGAAGGTAATAGGAAGGATTGAAGATTAAGGAACCAGACACAGAGCTATGAGAGACATTGTCATACTCTAGAAGCTGCAAATAGCCCATTTAATATTATAATTTATACCATATCTGGAACAATATTTAGAGTTTGTTTAATTGATTTGTTACTTTGTGATGAGTATTAACTAATAAAATAATGATTCTATTGAACCCACCTCACATCAAATATGCTTACTTGTTTATGTATGTATGTATGTATTAGGAGACCTTTGGTGCAATGGGTTAAGCCTTGTGTTGCTAACTAAAGGTCAGGGGTTTGGCCCCTGAGCTACTCCCTGGCAGAAAGATGAGGCAATTGGCGTCTGTAAAGATTTTCAGCCTTGGAATTCCTGTGGAGTCTATCTACTCTGTTCTATAGAGTGGCTATTTGTAGGAATGGACTGAATGGCAGTGTTTGTTTATTTTCTTTAATTGAGAAGGTCTATCTGGTATGACTCAATAGTGTAAACACTGGACTGCTAACTGCAAGGTTGATAGTCCAAACCCACCAGTTGCTCACTGGAAACCCTATACAGGGTCGCTATGAGTCAGATTCTATTTGATGGCAACATAATAACAGCAACAACAACCAAGAGTAAACAAAAGTGATTCTGAATTATAGTTTATCAATGAATTCATGACGTTAGAGTGTGATCTACCTGCACACACGATAAGAACAACCAAGAGTAAACAATAGTGATTCTGAATTATAGTTTATCAATGAATTCATGACTTTAGAGTGTGATCTACCTGCACACACGATAAGAAGGCAATTCTATAGTAACACAATTCTGTATTTAAGAAGATTTTATGGGAAAGGATCTATGTACATACATGTATCTGTGTTAGTGCATGTATCAGAGAGAAAGCACAACTTTTCCTTATCATGCATTTTTTATTGAAGACATATATAAAACAATATACTAAACAGTACCTAACAATTGGAGAGATCTAGTTCAATAGAGGGAATTAAGAACATTTTTTTAAAGTTCTTGGGAAAATCTATAAACACTGTCCATATCCTTAATGTTTTCCTTCCCTGTTACCCGATAAGACATTCACAAGAGAATCCTTCTATTCAATTAAGAATGCTATCCCCTCAAGTAATTCTTGAGCAAACATGACTAAGACTATATGCTATTATAGTTATTTATTAAATTTCATTTCTGGGCTCCTAGGCTCATTTTTAACTGTAATATAAACTCTATATTATCTTTACTGTCTAGCCCTATCAATAGTCTAACTCATAAGCAAGGAAGGGGAAACCTTGCCTTATGCTTCTATTGTATTGGAGATGAGGCTAACAAATATGCCAATTTCAGAGTTTTGAGTTGTAAAAGGACAATAATGACCCTCTTGGTTTGACAGAGGAATTCTTCTTCCTTCATAATGTTCAGTACGAAAATGAAATGAACTCTGATATTGTTTCCATGGATACTTTGGAGGAAGGCATCTAGTAGAGGTGGATTTCCTGCTTTGGAATTACCCTTGAGTCTTTGTGCCTTGTCATAGAGATAGACAAAAAAGTTCACAGAAAAATGCTTTTACCCTTCTCACAAGTCGTTTCTCCTGCTTTTAAATCTATTAGTTAAATGCACAGTACAAATAGTATTCATTTCTCAAGTTTCATTGTATTTTCAGTTCTTAAACCTATCAGTACTTTATTTTAAATTTTTTCATTGTTTCATGATTCTTACAATTATTGGCCTAATAGAATGAAGATTTAAAGAGAGAAATAACCCCCTCAAGATTTGCCACAGAATCAAACATATACAAAATGTGATGTGACTGAATATTGACAGAATGTTAAAATAACTGTGGTACCAATACTCCTTCGATATCTCTGTGGATTTGATTTCATCAAATTACCAAGTAGTGAAATATAGTGGAGCCATGCTTATGGATAATTCAAATTTTAACAGCTAACAGTGTACACTTAACAACAACAACAACAGTGTACATACTTTAGAAAAGATTTAAAAAAAAACATAAATAATCTTTTAGTGTTAAAAGGCATCTCTGGGTAGATGCAGACTGTCAACCTTTCAGTTAATAGCTGAGTGCGTAGCCATCCAGAGATTCCATAGTCTTCACAAAACCTACTGTTTTGAGAGATACTTTCCTTCCGATTGAGAATTAGCAAAGACCATATGATGGGCAAAACTGAATGCTTTCAGTGACTGAAGTTTAAGCATTAAAAAGTACACTGGCCAGAGCAGCAGTGAAGATCTGAGCAACAAGTCCAAGCTATTGTACTACAGCTAAATGACTGGGGTCTCTTAGGCTATTTCTGGATTCCTTATCTGCAAAACGAGAGAGTAGGGCAGCAATTATGTGAAATGACTGAAATTTTATAATAGTTTTATTCATAAAGGAACACAAATAAGCAAGAAGCATAATTATTCTTTCCAAAAGAAATAAACCCTGAAAACGTTTATTTCATTTACATTGCCCTACTAATCACATTGAAGTAACTACTATATAGTTTACATATTTTACAGAAATAAATACAAACATTTTCCAGAATTTAAGCTAGCTTTCTGCCTACTAAAAACAAATAAACTATCTGCATGTTTCCATTTCATTAATTCAGCATAAGTAGTAGTCTTAGGAAAAGAAACATAACTAGGTAATGGAACTAGATATTTTGTTCCATTTTCTTGGTAGGAACTTGAAGCCATATCCTCAAAGTTTTATTTCAGATACAGAAAATAATTAAAAGTGCTACGAAGGCAGGAATCATGTCTGTCTTCTTCACCTATATATTCACAGAGCCAAGACCAGTACTTAACACATAGGAGCTTCTAAGAAAAGAATTGCTGAATATTTGAATAAATACAGAGTAGCTTTTGAGCTAAATGAAAATTGGTTTGCTAAATGAAAATTCAATGACTCAGGTCAATGAAACTGATTAAACGTATTTCATGTATATTTTTGACATAACTAGCAAGAGAAGGGAAAAAAAAGAAATCCCTGTAAGGGAGAAAAACTCCAATATTTCCCCCAAGAACTCTTTCTGCTGAAGGGTTGTCATGTATTGTTTTTCTACTCTAAATTAATTTACAGTTAATGATATAAATCAATAAAGTGCAATCAAAATTCATCCATATTGACTTGTATATGTGTATATACATATATATGTATATGTATAAATATATAATTCCTTTGGATGAACCATTTCCAGTGATGAATTCAGCTGGTAAAGTTTTTTCCATAAATATTGTATATCTTGAGAAACGTTTAAAAGAGATCAATGCCTTCAGATCTTTATTGACAGAAGTACCATCTTCCTTCTCATTTTCCTTTTAGAAATGTTCATTTCATTCACCTTTTCAATAAAAAAAATTTAATAGGAAAGCCTTTCTAAAGATAAATATGACTAGAGAATATAGACAGTTTTTTATTTTTTTTTTTCAAACCTCCAAGCACAGGATCATAAAGGTTTATATTGCTGGTTTTGTAGATCTCAAGGTTTGTTATGAGTTGTGTGTATAGTGTTAAAGGAGGTAATACATTTTCTTAAAAAATTTTGTAACATGATTTAAAATTAGAAATAATTAAAATATGTTGATATAAAATGCTTAGTCATATTAACCTTTCAGCAAGGCATGTTTAAAGAGCAACAGGGAACTTAGAATATTTGAGTATTTGTTGACTATTGATATGTTGACTATCGCACAATCTTTATGAATCTTTGATGGATATATTAGTGATTACCAAGTGCAAGGTCTCCATATAGAAAGCTGACCATAAAACACTTACTGTTGGGAGTAATGTATGCTGCTATATTGTGCTACCCTATGTTGAGAAGTCATTGGCGATGTGGAGCCAGTGGTTTGGCTTATGTGGATATCTGGATTGACCATTTGTGTCACTTGAATTTCAGGCCCTACCAAAATACTACCACTCATCACAGGTCCCATACAACCATCAGTCATGCTACTACTGCTCATGCCAGCCATACCAGGACTAGACAATACTCTCTCAGCATAGATTACATTGTGTGTGTTGGCTAACTCAGCAGGTATGCAAATATTCCCTTGAACATCATAGACGGGTGCCATTACTGTTTCAGTTACTACTACATTGGGTGCAAGTTGAGGATCAAAAACAATTGTAGTGGGCTGGACACACTGATCAGCAGTAGTGTATGTCTCAGTTACTATAATATCCCCATGAATCATGGACTCAGGTATTGCCATTTCTGCCTGGAATTCAGCCTCTGAGAGAGTCATTCCTGAAGATTCATTAACAAAGTAGTTAGGTCCAAGCAAAGGGAGATCAGTACTGATAGGTATACAGGCTTGGTGTGAAGGAAATGGCTCAATTTCTGTGTCTAAGCAGATTTCGGCAAGAGTCCTAAATTTTGGATCTAAAGTTTCCATGTAGTTCTCGTCTAAGTCATCCACAATCCAACTGCAACAACCAATGGAGCCCACAGGAGAACCTACTCCCTCATGATCATAAATGAGCAAGCAGTCATTTGCTGGTCGACCTTCATCTTCATCAGCATAAGCATATGCTTTCTAAAATTAGAAGCAAAATAGGCAATTAGTAGGTTTTATATTTAAAATAATCAAAGAAGAATAACGAATCAGTGATTTCTGATCCAAGAAATTTTATGGAATGAACTGAAGGAAAAACTGGTATTTTGACTTTTTCTAAATTATTGGACTTCAAAAAAATTTTTTTTTTTTTTTTTTTAGGATTATGGCTCATTATATTTTAGTAAGTGTGAATCTCTTATTTGAAAACAAATCAGTGATAATTTCTATATTTTTTTCAAATTTTGAATTGTTGTTTTTAAGTGACGTCAGAGTCAATTCCAACTTACAGTGGCCCTATATAGGGTTTCTAAATATCTGCTGGTGGGTTTGAACTGCCGACCTTGTGTTTCATAGTCCAGTGCTGATCCTACAGTGCCATGCCGGGAGTTCAGATTTTGCATTAGTGGCACATTTGTAAGCTTTTGGATTTATAGCCTTAGTGTCTGAGATGGTCTGCTCTTGTTATTAAGTGCCATTGAGTCGGTTCTGACTCATAGCAACCCTGCATATGGTTTCTGAGGAGCTAATGGTTAATTTGAACCACCAACTTTACAGTTAGCAGTCCAGTGTTTATCCTGCAGTGCTACTAGAAGCAATAAAGTATATTTATATTAAAGCATTATCTTCTTAAATTTGATCAACTGACTGAAAGTGTATATAAAGATGTAACTATCTCTAAGCATCAGAGACTTGTCAATAAGCTCAATGAAGTTTTATGTGATCTGAGAGAAGACAATCATGTCCACAGACCTGGTTGTAGGAACTTTTGAGTTGCTATTTCTGGAGAGGTAGTAATGAAAATACTAATACCAAAATATAGTTCTGAAAAAGAACCCAAAATAATACACCATCCCCACCATGTTGGAAAAAAAAAATCAATATTATAGTGTTGGTTTGTAGTTGATGTTATCCTTAAAAAACAAGTAGGGTAAATCATGCTATGTCGAACTTGTGAATTACAGAAATTGAGCCAACATTTCTCTAACAGGTTGAGTTTCTTTATAACTTTCTTTTCTTTTCTCTTTTTACTTCTCCCTGTGCCTGTCCATATACACATGGTTCATCTTATCAATTCCTGGTGTTATTGGGGAAAATTAATCCTCTAGATGTTCAAAAATCCACATAGTGAGGCTGAAGTGTAACTCTCTTTTCCCCCAATCCCTTCTTTTAATTTTATTTTTTCTTCTTACTGTTGGTGACATCTGAAGAGAAGGAAGGACATCACAGAGAGAGGACAAGAGACAAGAACACCCTTCTTGATCTGCATTCTCCTGACTCTGCTCTGCTCTGGGAAACAAAGTGAGGAAATCAGAAGGAAATAGAAGCCAGAAAAATGAGCCAAGCAGAGAATAAGATATTTTAATCCTTTTCACAGTATTATGTCAATTGAATAAAAGTGGGCGTTAATACTGGGGTCTGGAAAAGGATGTTTTGGGAAATTGACTTTATGTACATATTTTAAGGAGGAATGAAACATTTTCTGTTCAGGATTTGACTAGAATTAAGAATAAAGTATGGCACTTTAGGATAAACACTTGACCTCAAGGTTGGTTTGAACCTAAAGGTTAGCAGTTCAAATTCACCAGCTACTCCTTGGAAACTCTATACTGTCTGGGTCACTATGATTCAGAATCTATGTCACAGCCCTTACAGCAACAAGACTAAGGAGTCCTGGTGTAGCGTTGTAGGATAAGCACTGGACCACAAGGTCTGTTTGAACCACAAGGTCAGCAGTTCAAACCCACCAGCTGCTCCTTGAAAATCCTAGATAGGGTTGCTATGAGTCAAAACCAACTTGAGTCAAAACCAACTTGATGATATGTAACAACAACAAAAATAAAGGAATATATTCTAGGAAAGACTCACTGTAATTATTATTATTTTGAAGTCACAATGCTATTTTATGTGTAATTGTGTGTAAGGGATTACCTCAGAGAAATAGCTGTCCAAGAAAACCATGTTCACGCCTGACTCTGCATATTCCCGAAGGGTTCCTATGGTTGAACTCCTCCTCCTCATTGTTCCTGCAGCTCCTCCTGCCACAAGGCCAGTAGCCATTCCAACACCTGTGTTGAGTTCCACTCCTGATGCACCCCCTTCAACCATTGCTCCACCCGCATAGGTGTTAGTGTAAATTTCTGAAAAGAGAGGGTTTTCATGTACTGTGCTTGAGTTGTCTTCATTGTTTATCCATAGAGCATATCTGCAGTTTAATACCACCACAATTCAGCACAGAAGTCGATACTGGAAAGCTAGGCAAATATCAATACAAAATCAACTTATAATCTTAAGATGTGGAGATCAAGAAAACATAAATAAGTGATAATAAAGGAGTCTGCTATAGGTCTTATTTACACATACTTAACCCCTTAATCTTGAGGAAAGGAATTGGTACTAGTGTGTTCCTTGTCACTGTTTCTGAAAAGTTGCTCAGGGGCCATTGGAAAGGAGTTATACCCATTTGGGACCCTTCAAAACAAGACCAGTGATGTACTTGTAGAAACTGAAACTTAGTCCTCATTCACTCTGACAATGGGATGGAGATCTGCTCTTTTACTTTATGGAAACCCTATTCAGGGTCTCTAAGAGTTGACTCCGATGGCACTTAACAACAACATGCTCTTTTTACTGAATGGGTCTGGTTTGGGAAACTAAGGAACCATCATTACAAAGTCTCATGCCTGCTCTAGAATTGACAACCTTTCTACTTCATTCAATTACTGCCAATAACTGAGTGTTTTCCTGTATTCTTTGATGAGAATGGACAGGTTACGTTAAGAGACTATAAGACTAATGAGGCAAATGCATCTGTAAATTTAATAAGGGTTCTTTTTCCTCTTCCTCTTTTTCTCATTTTCCCCATTTTCCTTCACCTTTTTTCCTTTTACTGAACAGCTTGTATTACTCATAACAGTGATAATATTAAGTAACACTCTGCGAGACACTATTCTAATGTTGTGCAATGAATACATACAAATACACATTCAGTCTTCACAATCTTTTAAAGGAGATATTATCATTAATTTACCTTCAAAGATTAAAACAACAACAACAACAAAAAACCAGTCCCCGAGATGTTAAGAATTGTCCCCAAAGACTTATTACTAGTAAATGGCAGAACTGGGGATCAAATTCAAGCATTCTGGTTCCAGAATTTTGTCTTATAATTACTACATCATGCTTCACTGCCTGTAGTTTAAGACAGAAACATAAAGTGCTCACTTCAAACATGCAACTTTTCCTTTGATTATATTATTATCTAAGAAAATTAATTGATATGTTGTTTTTCTGTAAAGCACCTTTTTCATGAGGTTGGTCTTGTTAAATAATTCTACAAGTTTCAAAAAGAAAAACAGTGGTGTCTACTGACCAGAAGAATCTATACGTTCCTGGGTATTAGAAGCTGTTACTGGTACACATATATTTGAGACATCCTGAAATGAAAAAAAAAAAAAATTTTTTTTAAATAAATACTTTATATTAAACATTTAAAAATAGACATCAGCATATTTTATATATGTTTGTCATATGTTTGATATATGTTTGTCAAGCTTTGTTCAACTTCCTTGGAACCACTGCGTTTCCCTGGAAAGCAATGGTCACTCACCCTGTCTTCCGGATGCGCCCCTTCTATTCTCCAAGACTGCATCACTCCTTCTCCCCCTTCTGGCACAGGAGCAAACCTTGTTCCCAGTCCTTCTGGTCGCCTTCTTTTACAGCAACACATGAGCAGCAAGAGAGGTGACACTGGTAATGACAGGGTTATGGAAGAGTGATTCTAATGTGTCAGGCAGAGTTAAGAACCACTGATCGAAAACTACGCTGACCTCCTCTCAGTTGCTAGAGAGTCATGTTCTGAAAAAATATGTCTAATATCATTTTGAAGGATCCCTGGTAGCATAGTGGTTATGAGTTGGACTGCTAACCTAAAGGTCAGCAGTTCGAAAATACCAGCTGCTCGCATTAAGATTCACAGTATTTACAGCCTTGGAAACCTTATATAGGGTTGCTATGAGTCGGAACCAACTCCACGGCACACCACCAACACCAATACCATTTGGAGGACCATTCATGACCTTTGAATAGACTTGAAGACTCACATGTTATTTTAGGAAAGACAGCCTGTGTCAAAATTCAGTTATTAATTTTTTTATTCCTCAAATGTTTTAGTTTGTACTCATCTACATTAAAACATATTAACATTGCAGCTTGAAATGTTTACTTATCTTAAATTTTAGAAATTAGTTTTTGATCCTCATGAAACCACAGGAGAAAACTAAAATGCATGGAGCTATAGTGTTGGAGAAGAATATTAAAAATATCCTGGACTGCTAGAAGAACAAACAAATCTGTATAACCAAAGTGCTCCTGAGAAGCCAGGATGATATTTTGGACATATTATCAGGAGAGACCAGTCACTGGAGAAGAACATCATGCTAGGTAAATGGAGGCTCAGCAAAAAATGAGGAAGAATTTTTGAGCCCATTGCTGTTGCCACTAGTGCCAGCGAAATGGATTGGCACAATGGTAGCAACAATAGGCTCAAGCTTAACAATGGTTGTGAGGATGGCACAACATCCTGATGTGCATAAGGTCACTATGAATCTGAACCAATGCGACCACACCTAACAGCAACAACAATCTCTTCTTTAAACATCTCCATGTTTTAAAAAATGGTATAGGGTGAGATGGACCCCTATTAAAAATTTTTTTTTCTTTGAGACCTTTTCATTCCTATGTTAATGGTCCTACTTCACATGCAGATGAAAACTTCAAATCAAAAGCAAATCTGTTGTTTGTTTCAATTCATGGCAACTCCATGTGGTGTAGAGTAGAACTGCACTCTATAGGATTTTCAATATGATCTTTTGGAAGCAGATCTTAGGACTTTATTTGAGATGCCTCTAGTTGGGTTTTAACCACCAGCCTTTGGTTAGTAACTGAGCTCGTAGCCATTTATACTACCCAAGGCTTTCTATCAAGAACCCAGAGGAAGTCAATTTCCTCTTCTAGGCTCTTTTCCCTGCTTGTAACTACACCGGGGTGAGCAGGTTAAAACTCAAAGCGACCCCGTGTAGGTTTCGGATGAGTGGCTGGTGAGGTTGAATCATCAACCATGCAGTTCAAACTAACTGTGTAGTCCAGCACATTAACCCACAGCACTACACCAGGATTCCAGACTGTAACAATATACATGTGTTTTCCATTTTTATTACCTTCACTAACCCTAGACCTTCTTAGTTAGCATCATTGAATAAGTGCACACCTTATCTTTATCAGCCTCACTGTTTATTATTAAGGGCACACAAAAATTGCTATTTCAACAAAGAATGGCATATTAAACCTAACCATCTCAGTGAGTCAGCAGAAAAGACAGATTTCATTAAATATACTTACGAAGAAGCAATAAAAGGCCCAGAATAATCATGCCAATCGCTGCGGAGCCGAGCCCAACATTTGATTCTCCACTTTGATCCTCAACACCAAACCCACTGGTAGCAGAGCTGTCACCAGAGTATATGTTGGTGGTACTACTGTACAAACAGATACTGCTATCACAATCGCAGGCATATAATGTCATGATCTGTGGCAATTCACATTCCCTATTAAAGTTGTCCTTCACCAAGATCGGTATGTGATAAAAATCAGGAAATAAAGGCTGCCTGGCTGTAAGAATTGCAGAGGTAGCTGAAAAGAAAGAAAAAGAACAGAAGATAAATGAAAATGCCTTGGGGTTAACCTCTCCAACACCCAAATCTAAATATCTTGTTGTTAAGTGCTATCTGTTGTTGTTAGTGCCATCAAGTTGGATCTGGCTCATAGTGACCCTGGATAGGGTTTCTGAGGGGCGGCTGGTAAATTCGGTTCCAAATCATTGTGACCCTATATAGGGTTTCTGACAAGTGGTTGGTGGGTTTGAACTGTCAACCTTGTTGTTAGAAACCCAGTGCTTATCTTACAGTGCCACACCAGGACTCCAAAACTAGCTTGTTGTTAAGTGTCGTCAATTTGATTCTGACTCATAGCGATCCTGTACAAATATTCGAGGAGCAACTTGTGGCTTTGAACTGCCAACTTTGTGGTTCGCAGTCCAGTGCTTATCCTACAGTGCCACCTACTTTTTAGTGATCTAATAATAATTAGAGTCCTGGTACTTATTTTCTTAATGCTTATAGTTAATAATCTAATGTTGCCTTCCTAATTGATTGTTAAATCAATGAAGCAGGCAGAGACCTTATTTCTTACTTTCAAAATAAAAGTAAAAAATAAAGAACAGAGAATACTTGTTGCCCTATAGTTGATCCCAACTCATGGACACCTCTTATTTGTCAGAGTAGAATTATGCTCTAAGAGTTTCCAGTGGCTATGATCTTTCCGTTTCAAGAGGCCTCTGGGTGTTTTTGAACTTCTAACCTTTCAATTAGTAACCCAGGTGGTTCGATTTCATTGCTCTATGTGTTCCTAAGTGAGTGAAAAATACAAAATATATTTATAGGACATCTGAATTTCAGAGACATTTATGTGACTTACTTGAAATTATTCAAAATGGTGAGTTTTGACATCTGGTGAGTAGGTCAAGGGTCCCAATTCAAACGGATTAAATACTATTTTACCACTCACATATAGTAAATGATAGATAAGTTGATATTTACATATTATTATTTGCAATTGCAGTATCAAAGAATTATTTGTATTTTTATTTCAGCTCAAAAATTTCCCTAATGTCCTAAGTGTAAAAACACCAAAACCCATTACTGTCCAGTTGATCCCAACAAATAGTGAGCCTATAGAACTGAGTCGAACTGCCCTGTAAGAATTTCAAGGCTGTCATCTTTACAGAAGCCATTTACAAAGCCTCTTTGTCCTTCAGAATGGCTAGTGGGTTTGAACCTCTATCCTTCCATTAAACAGCCCGGTGCATAACATCTGTCTCCAGGGCTCCCTATCTTAGGCATATATGGGGCATTTTCTCCTATTTCATGTAAATATGAAAAGAAACATGGAAACCGCATTAGAAAATATGATTATTTTGCTTTTTGGATATTAATCATGAGCAAGTTTACATTCCACTTACAATTTACGGAGTTAATATTCCATGAGTCACTTGTCCCTGGTGGCTGATCAATAACACAAAAAGTAAATGGAGACCCGTAAGAATGGTCAATAATGCCTTTTGCAGAGATAAGAACTGATGGAGAAGCAATGCAGATGGTACTACTTTCCGTAAAAACGATTGGACAGTAGTCATTGACATCAGGAACCTCAACACATATGGTTCCCGTAGCCGTTTTCCCAGAGCCATCTGAAACAGAAAGGGGTGAATGAAGGTAGGGAGATGGTTCTCTCTCATATGCTATAGTACATAAGAATGGCATGTGTGACTACTGATATGATGAGGAGAGTAGGTTCCCTACTTCCACCTAATGCCACTCTTGCTCTTGAAAACTATATTTCAGACACACTTGCTTCTTAGTTCTTTGAGCAAGCTTTTTCCTAACTTGGGATCCTTGCCCATTCCATTCACTCTTTCCAAAATAAAATGTCTTTCATCCCCATTTCACTTTTCCAATTCCTATGTATCCTAAAAGGCAATGTTAAAATACTTTTCTTTTTTCAAAAGAGATTTACTGTTCCCTATTCCCACTCTGTCCCCATAATTAGACTTTAAGGCTAGCTTAGTGCTTTTTATTCAGGAAGTTCATTAAAATAATGTTAATTGATAATGCACATTTTTCTGCTTCTGTTTTTATTATTTCCCTATCTCAAGTGCATTTCTGAAAACAAATATAAATGTATTTAATTTTCTCTCTTAATTCATTTGGAACAAATGATCGGCTAGGATGGTTTATTAGAAAGATTACAAGACTACAAGTTACCGTTCTTGGTTTATGGTCCGTATTTCTACTTTATTTATTTAGCTTGAATAAAGTTTTGTCTGATTTTTTGTTTTTTTCCTTTTTAACTTGCAAGGGATTTACATTAAAAAAAAAATTTAAACATTATTACATTATTAAATAATTAAAACACCTTAAACTTTATTTCTACATCCCTAAATGGTAGAAACTTTATATAATTGAATGCTAATAAATTCATTGAATGATAGTGAACTGAGAACCTAACCATATCCTATATGATTTTGTACAGTTTTTCCTTAGCACTTGACTTTCTAAAGTGTCTATTTCACTAAGCAGACATCAGATTACCCCATATATTATTTAATTTGTAATTCTCTGACCTCTACAGCTTTTGTATGGCTTAAGCTATTACTCCCAGTATTTACTCCCCACAGGTGCTTACTATATATTTTGTTCTGCCTCTTTACCTGGAGGTCATGCATCCTGAACAAATTTACCTCATCTTTGGATTGTTCTCTGCTACGTAGATACTAACTAGCAGGTTAATAAACCTTGATTTTAGTTTTTTCTCAGTTCATTTTGAAAACGCTTCCCCCTCTGCTCTTTATTCACTTGAAGTGGCTAACTTTTATTCTGGGTTTTAAAGATACTCATCCACACATGATCAATATACAAATACAGGGTGTGATCAATAGGGTTAGAACACACTTTCCAAACATATCTTCCAGAATGCAAGTATTGATAATAAATCAGTCATTGGAAGCAGCAAAGCATCATGAGAGTTGGAGTAAATGATTATATAAACTAAAGACTAAAATGTATAAAGTATAATTGCTGTGGTTTGCAGTCCCGTGCTTATCCTACAGTTCCCGTGCTCCTGTGGGCATTATTGTTGTTGTTGTTAAGTGCTGTTGAGTCAGTTCTGACTCATAGTGATCTAGTTAGTATACGTTTCCCAAGCAGAGGTTGGTGAGTTTGAACCCCGACCTTAGGGTTCAAACCGACCTTGAAGTCGAGTGCTTTTCCTGAAGTGACACACCAGGACTCCAGGGCATTATTTGATGTTTGTTTTCAGACTTAAGGTGTCCAGTGTATCTTTCTCTTTGTTTGGCTACCAAAAATTCTGATATAAACTTACCGCAAACATATGCTATCTATTTTATATTAGGTATATTATGTATATCTGAGAGACATCTGTTTTGTATTAGGTATGTATGGATCCCTTTCTTCCTGGTTACTGACTTTCTCTGTTGTTTTGTTCTCTAGTTACTGGTTTCTCAGGCACCACTCAGAGAATCATTAACTATTGCTAAACAAATTCCTCTCTGTACTCACCAAGAGAAATGAATAGATTTTCCCACATGAGAAATGTCTTGATTACCAGTTAATTCAGTCATCTTATAATTTTCACTGAATTTGAATCTTATATTTGTATTTTCTTGGACCGTATCATTTTAGTTTACACAATGTAACTAATCACCCAATGCTCCCCCAGTCCTCTGTTAACTGAATTTTGTTATGTGTGCTGATACTGTCTGTTCCAACTCATAGAGTGACCTAGCATCGGGTTTCCAAAAAGCGGCTAGTTGAACCACTGACCCTGTGATTGGCAGTCCAGTATCTCTCCTATAGCACCACACCAGGACCCCAACTTTAGTGACTCTAAAATAGTGGTTACGAATCGGGCTGCGAACCTTAAGGCCAGCAGTTCGAAACTACCAGCCGCTCCGCGGAAGAAAAGATGAGGCATTCTGCTCCTGTAAAGATTTACAGCCTCGGAAACCCTGTACAGGGTCGCTATGGGTCGGAACTGACTCGAGGGCACTTAACAACAACAACCACCTTTCCTGAAGGCCATCCCCAAATGAACTCTCTGCACAATTTATAGCCAGTATTTTAAGATTCTTTACACATTCTCCAAATTAGAAAATGAAGTTATAAACAGCAACAGAATTTTATTTATACTGTGTATTTTAAGGAACTCTGGTAGCGTAGTGGTTATGAGTCGGATTGCTAACCTCAAGGTCAACAGTTCAAAACCACCAGTTGTTCCGTGGGAAAAAGATGAGGCTTTCTGCTCTAGTAAAAATTTGCAGCCTCGGAAACCCTATACAGGGTAACCATGAGTCAGAACCAACTCCACCACTATCTGCATTATAATTTTTACATTTTACAGTAATTTTGTTGTATGCCACATACAATTATTATTTTCTTTGGAAGTTGTTGTTGTTATGTGCCGTGGATCTGTTCCAACTCATAGCGACCCTGTACAGGGTTTCTGAGGCTGTAAATCTTTATGGGAGCAGAAAGCCTCATCTTTCTCCCGCGGAACAGCTGGTAGTTTCAAACTGATGACCCTGAGGTTAGCACCCCAATTCGTAAATAAATTATATCTTGATTACAAATTAAGGTTATAAATGTATTAAATTTAATTATGGGTATAAGATATTTAAAACTCTCTAGAAATATTGCTAATACCAATAAATATATTATTTTATTTGAGTGAATTCAATAACATGATATAAAAATATCTACATTGTTTAATATAGTAACAATTTTACTAAAATATTAAAAATAAGTTTTCTTACCATCTATAGCCAGAATCTCTGCTGTGTATATCCCATTAGTGATATATTTTGATTTCTTATCAAATTCCCTAGAAAATTGTATTTCACTGGTCCTTGAATCAACTTTTAGCCAGCTGCCTGCATCGTGTCCTATGATATATCTGTTTTGAAATAAATAAGTTCTTCATTATGCTTTTGTGAAAGTTTGTCGTTTAAAATCACATGGAAGTGTTGAACTTATAGATGTGTTTCATGCATTTTGTGATAATTATCATGGTTTATAAATATATGCATGTATCATATGTAATGCATATAGTCACAAAAAGGTTTTAAAACTTCATCATTCTTACTTTTCTAGCTCTTACTATAATTTTAGTATAATATATATGCTTATTTCAGGTATCATCACAATATTGAGGGAATATCATTTATTTATTACACAAGTTGTTTACTCAGCTTGTCTGCCTTAGCTATTAAACCATCTTGCTTTCAGACCACTTCATTTTTGGCCTTTTCAGAGGCTGTGATAGCCTTTGTTCGCTTTTCTTTATGGGTCTTGTTACATATGATGGATTTAAAGTGCTTCATCTTATTGAAAGAAGATCTAGTCTCTATTTTGTTGGCTTTCCACGGAGGGGATAGTGGATTTGAACTGCCAACCTTGTTGTTAGCATTCCAGTGCTTATCCTACAGTTCCATACGAGGCCTTCCCTGGTCTCTATACCAGGTACAATTTCAGGTCTTCAGTATTATTTATCTAACGCATCTTTTTCTTCTATTCCGTATTGACAGACTTCAGAATCCTTATTAACTCTGTCAACTTGTTAGCTGATTAAGTAATTAAAATTGTTAACATCAAAGTTATTGGTAAGAAAAGAAGAAATAGAAGGGTACACAGAATACTTGTATACTTCAATATAGTTATTTCCCAGCATGCTTTAAATAGAGCTAATTCATGAATAATCTACGTCCAAGCACCCTTAGTACTACCTTTCTGTCTCCAGTTCTGTCTTCATGCTCCTAATATATCTGAAACACCTGTGTTCTAACTTCTTTCATTGTTTTTTGTTTTACTTTTTTCTCCCCTTTCAGGTGAATCAGAGGGCTGAAATTAATCCCAGTCACAGGCGACACAGGTTTTAAGGAAATAAGTAGTGACTCATCTTTTATGATAGTTTATTGTTTACAATTTGACTTAATCAGCCCAGGTCAAGGATGGCACAGATGGCCACAAAAGAGCAAAAAAACTCTCAGAGTAATGGTAGGTGGCCCTTTCATCTTATAATTGCTCCCAGGACAAAATTACTCTGACATCCAGTTGGAACATTTAAAGCTTCTAAAACAAGATTAAAATTTTAAGAAAATACTAATGCCATAAAAGTCTTCTAAAACAGATAAACAAACAAGAAAAGAAAAGGAAAACTCTGAAAAATTTAAAACGCACATGCATTTATACATACTGAATGAATTAGCACTGGACAGAACTCAAATTTGTCATATTAACATGACCAAAGTGTTTATAGTACCTGACATTTGTTGCAGGATTTCCTGTATCCAAATCTATAGCTGGGTAGGTGCCAAGCACATGATTCAATAAGGAATCACCTCTTATTCCTTCTCGCACACTGAAGGTCATAGAGTTTGGCTGAAATGTGGGCCCTTCTCTCACATTAATAACCTGAATCCTCACAGGAGTTGGTTGCATTCGGAATTGAGAGGCAACGGAGTGGTGAAATTCAGCTTGGTTTTTAACCCCAATACTAAGATGAACATTGGGCATTTGCTCATAATCCAGCATCTGAAGGGAAAGGAGAAAAAAACCTAAAAACAATCTGAAACAACAAATGATTCTTTTCATAAAATAAAAGGCCATGATAAATAAGCAATGCACTAAGATACAGCCCAGGAGCTGTGCTCTTCAGATTTTGAATTCATAAAACTTTACCTTTTACTGTATTAGGTATTTTAGACATGTTATTCTCTTTACCCATTGTTATAACCAGGTATATAGAGTCACTAAGTCTATGACTTCACATTCAACTCAACTTTTGGAATTTTGAATTTCTTATATAAAACCCTGCAATGAAAAGTTGATCTTTCTAAATGCGATATTTAAGAAAAATAATATTAGAATAAAATACAAAAATGTTCACAACTTTGGAACAAATAAGAAAATGTGTTGTTGTTGTTAAGTGCTGTCAAGTCTGTTTCTGTATAGGGTGTCCGAGGAGCAGCTGGTGGGTTTGAACTGTTTACCTTGTGGTTCGCAGTCCAATGCTGATCCTACACTGCCACACCAGAAGTCCAAATAGGAAAATGGTGGTGGTGGTTATGTGCCGTGGAGTCGGAACTGACTCATAGCAACCCTGTACAGAGTTTCCGAGGCTGTAAGTCTTTACAGGAGCAGAAAGCTTCATCTCTTGCGGAGCGGCTAGTAGTTTTGAACTGCTGACCTTAAGGTTCATAGCCCGATTCATAACCATTATGCTACCGAGCTCCTTAAATAGAACCTAGATTGTCCTTATAGAATTCACATCTGAATATCTCTTAAAATATTCAGCAGAATAGAAAAATCAATATACATGATTAATTGGACTTGTAATTATTATTTTTTTTAATGACGCAAACAGCTTCTGAAGGAGAATTCATGATTATTATAGTCCGCTCTAAACTATAATTTAATTGTGCTGGGTCTGGTGGATACATTCAAATAAGTAAATACCACTCAGGGCAAAGTCACCTTTGAAATGGATTCCGTGGATAAAAGATGCGTAGGATCTTTTAATCCAGAATGATTGATGTGGTGACATGAAAAGACACAACAGCAGTTGTGAAAAACTGAGTACTGGGAAATGTTTGTTTAGAAGTGCTCTGGAAGCTAATGGGAGCTGGGAACGCATTTATCAGCAGCACAAGTTAAGATGCCAGTGCCATCAGGCTAACTCTCTGCTTCCTAGGGAAATTCCATGGCATCATGGATGTTTTCTTAGGTTTTAGAGCCAAATTCTCCAGACGTGCTGATGAGACAGAAACATTTACAAGAATTCACTTGGTTCCATGTTTGGGGCTAGCTCAATATGCATTGTGCATTTTAGCTAAAATCCTTGAGGTTCAGCATTTCTATTTTTTTTTACCTCTGTTTTCTATCCTTGTTCATATAAAACCTGACACAGTGCTGAATATGAGTTATGTAGCCAAAAATGAATTTTCAATATGAAGAGATTACGCTTCTACAACTTACTTTCATTTTCTAGAATTCCATACTATTAAAAATCTATGTTTAAATAAATGGAAAACATGAGAGTATACAATCTGATAGTTAGAAAAATCCCTTGAGGTTTTCTTATACATATATACTCATATATACATACATACACTAATGGGCTTTTTGTTCGTTAGAATAGTTCTCTCCCTCTTGAATAGTTTTTGTTGTTGTGTGCTGTTGAGTCAGTTTTGACTCATAGTGACCCTGTATAGGGTTTCTAAGAGTGGCTGGTGGATGTGAACTGCCAACTTTGCGGTTAGCCATCCAGTGCATATCCTATAGTGCCATACTAGGGCCCTCTAGAATACAGTGTGATGAAAATATATTTATATGTGACCACACTGTATAAATTATAGTGGTTCACAGAATCTAAAGAAAGGAAACTGGTTGGGGATCAGTCTGTAGGGATCTTTCTCTCCAACAAGGAAAAAAATGAAGAGTGATAGAGAAAAGATAAAAAGTCTTTCCTTTCTTCTTTGCAAGTGGAACTCATTATCAAGGATATTCTGATTGTTTGCTGAAGTGAAGGGCATGCAAAAAAAAGCAAAATGAAAACAATAAAAACCACTGTTTACTACAATGTCTCTGCTTTAAGTTAGAATGGAGAGGCTGGAAAACTCAGTTTTAAGGCATCACTGACAAAGCATGTGTAAATGTGTGTTAAACTCTGGCATGAGGATCAAGACCGGATCAAAGATGAAGACCACCTCTTCAGAAGTGTATTTGACTTCTGGCTGGTCTTTTGCTCCAGAAAATTTTACTAAACTGTCAGAGTCTCACATTCATTTTTTTTTTTTGGGGGGGGGGTCCAATTTACTATGACATTTGGGTTTAACTGCAAGGTCGGCAGTTCAAGCGCCCCAGCTGCTCCTCAGAAACCCTATACAGGGTTGCTATGGGTCGGAAACCACTCCACAGCACTTAACAACAACGACTATGGCATTTCTAATTTTAGGGGCACACTAGCTCACTTTGGAACGAAATATGAAAGAGGAAGTAAGAAGTTTCCATCCAAAAGGATTACATACTGGCTTGAAGATAGCTGAATTTCTACGGCAGAGAAAATGTTCAACTATCTGACAATGTGTGTCCAGGAAGGGCCATTTCCTGACACAGATATGTCTGGAGGAGACCATAAAGGTCCATGCAGATAGGAAAGGATGTTACTGAGGTGAACAGAATCTGAACGAAAATCTCAGGGTGATAGTTCCTTTCTCAAACCTGTTTTGCTAGTCCCCAGTTACATAGTGACACACTAGAGGCAGCAGTTAAGTGTGACTTTGAAGTCAGAGATATCCCGATCTTGTCTTTGGCATTTACCATCTTGATGAACTTAGACAATTTTCCTTTTGATTCCCATTTTTACAGTACTTTCTTCCTAATTTAAAAAGAATTAAGTGAAATCTGTGTAAAGTCTTAGAATACAATCGTTAGTGTTTATATTATGTTATGTTTAGTGCCATAGTGACACTGTATAGGGTTTCCGAGGAGCAGCTGGTTAGCTGGAAGTGCTGTTCTTGTGGTTCAAACCGACTTTGCAATATTTCCATACACATAAATTAATAAATACAAGAAAGTGTTTGTTATTAGCAGTCACAGAGAATTCTGATCTTTCTAAAAGATTCTCAGTTTTTAAACTATAAGCTCATTGAGAACAGGGACCATTCACCTTCCTATTTCTAGTACAGTACAATTCTCAATTCATTTTTGTTGAATTGTGAATTATTTATAATGTTCTCAAACTAAGAAAAGGGTTATATAAAGCATTACTGAAGAGTGTTGTGACACTGTAGGATTAACACTGGACTGCTAACCAGAAGATCAGCAGTTCAAGTCCACCAGCCCCTCCTCAGGAGAAAGACGAGGCTTTCTGGTTCTGTAAATATTTACATGCTTGGGAAACCTATAGGGTTGTCATGAGTGGGAAACGACTCTGTGGTGCACACAACTACCACCACCACCATTTATGGGAAATGGGCTTATTAGTTTAGTAGTTTGGGGAGATTGTAAACAAAGGAGAATAGTTACATATTATATTGTTGTTAAATGCTGTTGAGTTGGTTCCAACCCATAGTGACCCTGTATAGGGTTTCCAAGGAGTGACTGGTGACCTTGAACCACCGACTTTGCAGTTCAAATGGGTTTGCAGTCTGGCGCATTAACCCACAGCGCCATGCCAGGACTAGGATCCAAATTCCATGATTAAGATGGTAAGAAGATTGCTAGAGACTGTTTGATACTTCTAGTTTTTGATTTTTAACCAAAAAATTCTGAACCCTTGATTAAAAGCTTGACTGAAGATGCAGAATTTAATATAGTGGTAAATGACCTCTTGCCTTTCCCTAACTATCCATGCTACATTAGGCAATGATATGGAAGGAACCACCCATTCTTTTCCATTTTTAAGGCTGTCATCTTAGATCACATTCTTAAGGATGTCAGGACTTGATCAATGTAATAGCTATTTTCATAACTTTAATCTTCCCCAAACTGAACTCATATTATTATTCTTAAAGTCTTGCTTAAATCCCATTTCTTTCATGAAACCCTTTTGGGAAAAAAAATCTCTTTTCTTATCTCATTAGTTATTTTATATGTCATCATTTAGCAGTTAATTTTATAATATCACATCTGCATTGCTATGCATTATGCTGTAGCTCTCATATTGTTATCTAATTTGGGGTGCCTGCCTTGTTTTCTCAGCTAGATATTGGGAACCATGAGACTCTTAACAGCCTGCTTGGTGAGGTATCTGCGGGCTGGGAAGTAGTAAGCCTGCAAAGGACAAGTGCCACCATGAGTAGTTTTCATAGTGCCAGAGTGTTTTTTAAATGCCTATTCTACCTATAATAGTCATTTAAAACTTATTTGAAAGAAAATTTTGCAGATCCCATACTGTACCTTAACAACTTTTAAAATGCCTTCATTAGTTTTTGGGTCTGTTTGAATATCGAACCAATTTCCATCATTTCCAGAGAGAATTAGATACTCTGCCAACCAATTATCAGTGCCTTCTTCATCCAGATCAATTGCTTGTAATCGTATCAGTTCTGAATTTAAACAATTTTCTTCAATACTTGCTGAGTACTAAGATAACATAGATAATTTTGCAATCAATTAATTTTCAAAAGAGGAAATGCATTATTAATATATAGTTATCATTTATATTACCAAAATCAAACTATGTCAACAATTTTCACTGTTATTAAATATTGTACATTTAATAAAAAGTATAAAAGCAAATTTTATAAGTTAATAAAATCAATTTGTGTGTGTTATATGTGAATTTAAAGTCAAAGATGGTACTTTGTTCAATTTGTATTGCTTATTTTAATTTTTTTTTAAATTTGCTTCTTTCTTTTAGGCAAAGGAAATGTAATTTTTCTGAACAAAGCCAAATAGCAAATATAGTAGGCTTTATATACCAGTAAGTCCCTTTCCCTGCTGTTCAACTCAACTGCTGAAGCAGGAAAATTCATAGGAAAAAAATGAAAAGCTCTATGTAAAGAACTTAGCATTATCCAATAATATGTATTTTTTTAGTTAAAACAGGTGGCAGGCTGATTTGACCTGGGTCAGCCTTCATGCTTCCCTATGCCTAAAAATTAAAATGGAAATGGAGAGTACTTTTGGAATTAACTGATTAAATCATAAGGAAGGCCTTTATATAAAGACCAACATTGTAACATTTTTTTTTCCAGCATTATATCAACAAATTTCCACAAATCTCTGAGTAAAGCCTGCAGTTGATAATTCATGATTTTTACATAGAAGGTCTGTATGTAATAGTGGCTCACAGATAAACATCAAATATCAAGATGTGTTACTATACATAAGGAATTCCAAAGTTTATATAGCAAAGCTGAATACTTGGGTCCATGTAGCAGAATCACAAACTACTAGGAAAGTCAATAGACATTCGCCAAGTTTGAAGATGGTTTATAGGAATGAACACTTACTGAAGTCTTTTCCAGGGTGGGGAAATTATCATTGACATCCAAAACCTTGATTCTACAGTCGCAGTTGGCTGAGAGTCCATCAGTAGCCCCATCTCGATCGGATCCACTCACAAGGAGATTATACATACTGTGTTTCTTAATTAAGATAAAAAAAATGACTGTAAGGCTTTGGTCCTGTATTGATTCAAATATAGCACATTTGGATACTTTTATTTTATAAATGTGTCCACATAGAATAAAATCTTTATAAATGAGCTTTTAATTTTCGTTTGAAAAGAGCAGTTGAATTATTTTGTCTTCTCTACTTTACATTACTGACGAGTAGTCAGTAAACAAAACAAAAATCCTCACCACTGGACCAATAAACAACATCCTTATCAATGGAGAAAAGATTGAAGTTGTCAAGGACTTCATTCTTCTTGGATCAACTATTAACACTCATGGAAGCAGCAGTCAAGAAATCAAATTATGGATTGCATTAGGCAAATCTGCTGCACAAGACCTTTTTAAAGTGTTGAAGAGCAAAGATGTCAGCTTGAGGACTAAGGTGCGCCTGACCCAAGCCGTGGCATTTTCAATAATCTCATCTGCATGTGAAAGCTGGACAGTAAATAAGGAAGACCATAGAAGAATTGATGCTTTTGGGTTATGGTGTTGGAGGAGATTATTGAAAGTGCTATGGGCTGCTAAAAGAACCAATAGATCGGTTTTGGAAGAAATGCAGCCAGAGTGCTCCTTGGAGGTCAAGATGGCCAAATTTGGTCTCTCATACTTTGGACATATTGTCAGGAGGGACCAGTCACTGGAGAAGGATATCATGTTTGGTAAGGTGGAGGGTCAGAGAAAAAGAGGAAGACCTCCAATGAGATGGATTGGCCAAGTGGCAACACCAATGGACTCAAACGTGGCAACAGTAGTGAGGTTGGCCCAGGATGGGGCAGTGTTTCATTCTGCTGCACATAAGCTCACTATGGGTCGGTACCGACTCGATGGCACCTAACAACAACAACTTTACATTAGAGTAAGGACATACATGGATCATTTAATTCTTGCCTTTTTGAAATTGAGTCATTTACTTCTTATCATTCAGTTGTAGAAGACTTTACCTCTCTGTCAAGAAAATTGGACATTGTGCGAACTTCTCCTGTGTATCTGTTCAGAATGAACATGGGTGCACCTGCAGGCTCCTGAGAGATGATTTTGTAGGCAATTTTAGAATTCAGGTGATTGTCTTCATCTGCATCCGTGGCACTTAACTTTACTACCAGTGTGTCTAGAAATGAAGATTTGAGTGGGACTTTGTTAGAATTAATCCAGCAAATTATCAGGCACAGGAAAAAAGAGTGGTCAGCCTTTTTCTGAATCCACTCTTTTCTAGTTTTCCATTAGAATGCATTTCAGTGACATCATTGTTAAAATAAATAATTGTGATTTGGTTTTTAAAAATGCATTACAATTTATAATATGCCTGCCTTAATCGCTCCTTAATCATTTAATCCTTGTATCCCTATGAAAGACTTTTGACTGGTATTATCCTCACATTTCTAAGGAGCTCTGATAGCGTAGTGATTACGAATTGGGCTGCAAACCGCAAGGTCAGCAGTTTGAAACTACCAGCTGTTCCACGTGAGAAAGATGAGGCTTTCTGCTCCGGTAAAGATTTACAGCCTTGTAAACCCTGTACAGGGTCGCTATTAGTTGGAACCTACTCCATGGCACATAACAACAACAACAGCATCCTCACATTTCCATGGCAAATTAGTAGCAAAATAGTGATTTTTAATATGCAAAAAATAAATTCAATAGGCTCTCTGTGTCAATATAAAGTTGAGAAGACCATTTTTATCCATTTGCTACTTCCACAGTCTTGCCATGAAAAACTTTGATGAGTAAATAAGAAAGATTATAGCTTAATTAGATTCAATTAGTTGCAATTGTTTATTGAACATCTATATTCTTGTCACTCATCCTAAAATAAAGCATTGGAGAATTTTGCCCAACAGTCAAAGATTTATTGTTGAAAGATTTGTCCATAGCAACATAAAAACTTCTTAATTAAAAGAACAAAAACAACGGATACTCTAGGCAAATTCCCAAGGATGTCAATCCACAGCACAAGTTTTCCAAGACTGATAGGTCCCTGAAGTTCTTTTGCTTCCCAGGCAGGCTTCAAAGTGAAAAATCCTAGCACAGAGCCAGGGATCCCCCTCATATAGAACAAACCATGACTCATGCCATTTGTTCAGAAACTATCCTCAAAGGAGGGAGCATCAATTAACAAGGTTGCCAGTGTATGCCAATAAAGAAGCCAAGTAGACTTTGAAGTCTCTCTCTCAGTTTTGCATCTCTTGAGTTTACACTGTGTCCTCCTCTCTTATTAAACAACACGTGCATTTCTTATTTTAAACATTATTTACTTTGGAGGATCTGAAGTTGAGTTCTCCTGAAAATACCTCTCTACCTCTACCTTTTGATGTCACCTTCCTTCTTTCCTCCAGTATTTATTTCTCTTCCTTACACATTTCCCTACTTTCTCTTTCTCGTATTTAGCCTGTTTTCTCATCTTTCTTCTGACATTATTATTTTTTTTGTCTATTCTTCCCCTCATATTTTTTTGGGAAATTTATTTGTTACTTACTTACTTTATGAATAATACATATAAGCTATATCTTATTTATAATTAATTATTTCCAGGAGAAGACACGAATTTTAAGAAGAAAGGGATGTGAGTACTGGGGGAGCTGTAAGGGACAGATGGCACAGGGGGATAGAACAGTAACAACGTAAGAAAACAGAGGTATGCCTTAGAGCAGAAACGAAAGGTGTTCAGAAGAACTGATACAAAGATTGAAAGAGAAAAGGGTATTAAAGTTGAAAATGGAATAAGGCAGAAATAAGTAAATGAATGAATGAATGAAAAGTAATGCAACTAGCTGTGTAGCCTTTTAGATCAGTGGGTTATCCTCAGTGATTGACCTGAGGTTGCATATACACCTTTCCTAACTCTCTACTTATTATGAATAAGTCAGCGATTTTGAGGAATTTTTGACTGTTCATGATTTCTTCCTTTGTTTGCTCATTCAGAATAAATTGGTCATGAACCCAATAACTATCTCTGAGGAAAGTGGTAAGTACCCACTAAATCACACGTGTAAGAGTCTTGCACAAGCAAGTTGACATTGGGTATTTTAAGCCAAATGATTTCTAAAAATCTCATTTATAAGTTACAATTAGAGGATTTTCTACAAAATACATTTTGGATTTTTAAAAAATCTTTAAATTACTTGTATTTAAACCTTGTGACATCTTGACCAAGACAGAACAAAACAGAGAGGAAGTGCCATTTTACTTACTTGCATCACTGTTTTCTTCAATACAAGCTGTGTAGACATTCTGTGTAAACACTGGTGGATTATCATTTATGTCCATAACTTTGACTCTGAGCTCAAGAGGACTTTCTAAATCTTCACCCCGTGAATTCAGAGCCCGGCAGTAGATCTGTGGAAAGTAGAAAACACTGTCTTTCTCAGCCAAAGGAACTTACGTGGCATACTTGAAAATATATAAGGGAATGTGCAAACAATTCTCCATGAACCCAACTACATTTCTGTCTAATAATTTAAATGTAATCAAGGCAAGTGCAGCACACCAAAGGTCTAAAGTATAAACATCTATGTTTTCACTTTTTCCACTCCTTCAAGTCTTTATTTGCTTTTTCTACTATGCTTTATCAAAATAAGTAATTGTCCTGAGGTGATTTGTTACTTAGGCATCTAACCACCATTGTGACTTACCAAAAAAATTGGAGTTATCTCTCTGTCCACCACTGAAGTGATGTTAATTTCTCCAGTCCGGGGATTAATGGTGAACACTCCATAAGGTGGTCGATCAATCCCCACCCCAGAAATGCGATATGTAATTTTCTGGCTCACTTCACAGTCGGATCGAATCTACAAGGAAAATGGTTAAGGTAATTATCTAATTTACACTAGATCATGAACATTAGAGTATAGTTCTACCCTGTCATATGAGTTCACTATGAGTTGGAATTGATTTAATAACATGTAGCTCTGGTAGTGTAAACCGACTCGACGGCACTTAACAACAACAACAACAGCTCTGGTAGTGTAGTGGTTACAAATCGGGCTGCCAACCGCAAGGTCAGTAGTTGGAAACTACCAGCTGTTCCACGGGAAAAAGATGAGGTTTTCTGCTTCCGTAAAGATTTACAGCCCCAGAAACCCTGTACAGGGTCGCTATGAGTCGGAACTGACTCCACGGCACATAGCCACCACCACCACCACCACCACCACCACCAGTGAAAGCTGTATTTCCAGCTGTAGGATAAGCACTGAATCACCAGGTGGCTTTGAAGAGTTGGCCTTGTTGTTCCCAGTCCAGTGCTGATCTGACAGTGCCCCTCCAGGAGTCCTAAGTCATGGTTTGTTGTTGTTAAGTACCATAGAATGGGTTCTGACGCATAGAGAGCAGCGGCTGGTGAGCTTGAACCGCTGACCTTGCAGTTCAAATGACTCTGCAGTCTGGCTCATTAACCCACAGCGCCACACCAGGACTCCTAAGTCATGGTTGATTTTGTTAAGTGCTGTTGAGTCGATTCTGACCCATAGCGACCCTGTACAGGATTTCTGAGGCTGTAAATCTTTACAGGAGCCGAAAGCCTCATCTTTCTATCATAGAACAGCTGGTAGTTTCGAACTGCTGACCTTAAGGTTCCCAGCCCGATTCTTAACCACTACACTACCAGAGCTAAGTCATGGTACCTGGCTTTAATTCACAGTTCATTTGACTACAAGGTCCTTTCATCACTTACTTTGGCAATCGGATTCCTCTTCGAGTTGTCTTCTCCTTCTCTGCATGCTGCAGCAAATTTGATCCACTCTCGCTTTTGTCTTCTGACAGTCTGCCATTTTGTAGTGCCATTTTCTATGTCTAATTCTTTCACCTTAAGAAAAAAATGGTTCAAATAACTTACAGTCTTAGGAAATTTTTACTTTTAGTAAATAATCACATGGATGTAAATCATGAGATGTATCCAAAGGAACAATGGGACTGCATGGAATTTAAAAACTGTTTTGTTAATTCACAACTGAATATAGATACATATAGCTTGGTCACTCCCTGACTCACTACTTGTTTGGAATCATCTCACTTCTAACTATCTGATCCTAGTGAAACACATTTCATTAGCTATTGTGGACATCATAATGTTTCAACATACCGTGTATTTTGTTGTAGTTTTTCTCTTTTAAAGCTATACTTACTAGGTAGAGGTCTTGTCTACCTCAGCCTTCATTGACTTTTGACTAGACTTTGCAGTCTTCAGAGTGCAAAAGCTAGTTGGTCTTTCATGTGAGTGCATTCTGTACAAAACAAAAGTTTGCTGGTGAGATGTGCTTATTTAATGTGGGAAGGGATTTTTTCCCTTCTGTTGGTAAAGACACTGCTGGTGTTAAACATCTAAATGTATTTTTGAAGGATGAGAAAAAAATTATTGACTGAATTGTTGATACCTACAATAATGCAAACACCAGTTCAGCTTCACAGTATTTGTGGCTTTGTTGGCTATATTCTTCCCGTTGTAGGTTTATTTGTCATTGTTAGTAGATGTCTAACAAATTTTTAAAGAGTTTAGAAATGGTATTTTATACATAAAAATGTGTGTGTGTCTTTATCAGTGCTGATCTATTTACTGAGTACATCAATAATATTATTTACGCTAAGACTTCAGTAAACTACCACTTTGGGGGAAGCAGATATTTCACTCAATCCTTTTAAGACCAAAAGCATTTTTATTTTGTCCCATTGTGATACAACTTTCTGAAATGTGCCACACATTCCCTACTTTTGTCAACTATTGTAGTAATTTTATTTTTGCCTAATGATTTGAGATTATTCCAATGAAGATTTAACTATTATAGTAAAGCCCTGCCAAAGATACAGAGGATGGTAAATGTATTTTCTGATCCCACTCAGATTGGAACCAGATTCTCTGTTCTGTTTAGTTATAACTACATATTTTTTATTTTTCATCTTGGAGTGAATTAATACATCATCATTCCTCATACATTATCAATTGTCTTTTTTGCTAATGTAAGAAAACCTTTGTCTTTCTATGCTAAAGCTTTACCTTTCTTTTTTGACTTTGTTATAGGTTGGGAAACATAAATAAACTGCTAGATTGTTTGAAAGTAGGATTACTAAGACCTTTGGCTGTCATAAATTAATGCTGTAAAGGCATGGGAATTTGGGGGCTAAGAGTGCGACCATTGCTATTTTATTTCATTAGAAGTTATTTCTCTTACTTTGATCTGAATGACTATTTTATAAAAATTCGGATTCTTGATATATGATGTATTACAAAATTAATTTTTCTTGAATTTCAAATGTAGTAAATAATTTTATTATACATTACCTCAACAATAAATTCACTGTTAACTTCTAGCACCACCTGTTATAGAAAAGCATAAATTAGCATAAAATTGCATAACTTGAAGGGAAGATGTACAAACATTGACTATGTTGTTTATGTATCATTTCTCAAGCATACATTTTACTGTCGCTGTTAAGTGCCTTCCAGTTGGTTCTGACTCATAGAGATCCTGTATAGGGTTTCTGAGGAGTGGCTGGTAAGCTTGAACTGCCGACCTTGCAGTTCAAACTGACTTTGTAGTCCAGCGCATTAACTCACAGTGTTAATTAACCCACAGCACATTAACTCCATACATTTTATTAGCTATATGGAAAACATATGGATAATAAAAAGTCAATAGAATAGAATTTTTTGATAGCAAGTATATTAAAATATAAAAAAAGTATATTAAAAATTATCTTTATAGACATGAAATATTAGATAAGGAGATAGTTAATAAGTGAGGAATTAGTGTACCATAGTCCACTATAGTCGTCAAAGTACATCTTTGCTTTTTCACCCTTTAAAGAGGTCTTTTGTGGTGGGTTTGCCCAATGCAGTGTATACTTGAATTTCTTGATTGTCGCTTCCATGGGTGCTTATTGTGAATCCAAGTAAAATGAAGTCTTTGATAACTTCAATTTTTTCTCCACTTGTCATGATGCTGCTTATTGGTCTAGTTGTAAGGATTTTTGTTTTATGTGAAGGTGTAATCCGCACTGAAGGCTGTATATAGCCTTTGATCTTCATCAGGATGTGTTTCAAGTTCTTATCACTTTCAGCAAGCAAGGTTATGTCCTCTGTATATTACAAATTGTTAGTAAGTCTTTCTCCAATCTTGATGCTGTGTTCTTCTTCATATGGGCTAGTGTCTTGGATTATTTGCTCTACATACAGATGAAATAATTATGCTGAAGATGTGTAACCCTGACATACTCCTTTCCTGATTTTAAACCATGTAGTATCTCTTGTTCTGTTAAAATAACTGCTTCTTGGTCGATGTAAATGCTCCTCATGGGCAAAAATAAGTGCTCTGTTATTATTCTTCTTCATAATGTTATTTATAATTTGTTATGATTCATACAGAGGAATGCTATACATTGTCAGTAAAACACAGGTAAACATCTTTCTGGTATTCTCTGCTTTCAGCCAATATCCATCTGATATCAGCTATGATATCCCTCATTCCACCTACTCTTTTGAACTCAGCTTGACTGTCTGTCAGTTCCCTGTTGATGTACAATAGCACAGACTTTTGCCTACAAAGGCTTTTAGACTGCTAAAAAAGATAAACACATAACTCTACAGCAAGACAGGTTGGAGTAAATACTAAAACCCAGGCACTACTGGATTTAATGGAAGGGAAGAACAGACAATTCAAATGACCAAAGGCAATTTGGGGAGGCTTCTTAGGAGACTAAGGATTTAGAAGTACTCTGCAGGCTGTTTGTTTTGATAGAAGAAACTGATAGGGAAGGAAATTTCAGCCAGACTAACACAAATATAAAGTCACTAAATTTCAGAGGATATTCCAGGGATAGTAAATATTTATATTACCTGCAATGTAGAGGAGCCAGAGAGACAAAGTTTGGAGTGTCCAACCATGAGGTGTCTAGTGTAAGAGATTGAGGAGTTTGGACTTTGTTGGGTAGAGCATGGGAGGGACAAAATAAATTGCTTTTAAAACCTGTCATTGCTATGAAGAAAAGATTACAAGAAAAAGACTGAAATTTGAAAGACTTAGGGATTTGAAATTGTGTAGCTAAGACATTGTTAAAACCTAGACGTAGGTGCTGAAATGGCTCTGGATAAAGAGAATGGGGACATTAGGAAACAATGGACAGGGCTTGAGTGGTTCGAATAGGGCTGTTAACCTCAAGGTCAGCAGTTCGAAACTACCAACGGTTCCGTGGGAGAAAAATGAGGCGTTCTGCTCCCGTAAAGATTTACAGCCTCGGAAACCCTGTACAAGGTCACTATGAGTCAGAACTGACTCCACAATACTTAACAACAACAACATAGATTGTAGGATACAAGAGGAGAAAGAATCAAATAATTTTGGAGATTTAAGCCTGGCTCTCTAGAAGAGTGGAAGTACTATTAATGTTGTTGTTGTTAAGTGCCATGAAATAGGTTCAAACTCATACAACCCTGTATAGGATTTCTGAGGAGTGGCTGGTGTTTTTGAACCATCGACCTTGCAGTTGAAACAGTCTTATGGTCCACTGAGTGCTTATCCTATAGCGACACAGTGACCTTTCTGGGACAAGAGACTCTCATTGCAGGAAAATGATGACTATGTGGTTTATTTGTTTACATTAAATGTGCGTCTAAAATTTGGGAAAGGTATAAAAGTTGAAGAAGTGGAATCTCTCCAAACAGGATTGCTATTTGAAGTAGGACATGAAGATATTAAAGGAAGCAGTTTAAGAAGTGAAAAGAACAGAACACAGACTCTTGTGGGAAATGCTTAAATTTGGGTAGGGGATAGAAGGAAGACATCAACCAGCAAGGACTCTGATAGACAAAAAGGCCAAGGGACCAGGGCTGTGGGTGCCAAGCAGATTCGGACAGTAGGAAAAGGAACAGAAGTAGAGGTGGTGGTAGTCATGGTGGTAGTGCTGTGTAGCTGTGGCTGAGTTGTTGATGAAGCCCAGTCCAGAAGAAGAAATTAGATAAGGTGGTGGGTAACAAGTAGCCAGAAAGGACACAGAATGAATGGAGTGTAGTGATAGGAAGTTTGACAAGGGGAGAAGAATGAGTTGTTTAAGTGTAGAAGCAAAAGCAAAGAGAATGGGAACTGATAGGGTCCTGGCATCTTAACTTTTCAAAGTTATTGTTTTTAAGTGCCGTTGAGTCGATTCTGACCCATAGTAACCCTGTATAGGCTTTCCAAGGATCAGCTGGTGAGCTTGAACCACTGATCTTGCAGTTCAAATGACTTTGAAGTCTGACGCATTACCCCACAGTGCCACCAATTAAAGCAGTCAAGCAATACATTGTTTTTGAGGAAGCAGAAATAGAGATCTTAGATCACATTTTCAGTAATATCAACTACCCCTGGTGGCACAATAATTAAGTGCTTGGAAAAACTGAAAGGTTGGTGGTTGAAACTAACCAGCAACTCCATGGAAGAAGATATGGAAGTTGGTTACCAAATAAAGATTTATAGTCTTAGAAACTCTATGGGATAGATCTACTCTGTTTTACAGAGCTGTTATGAGTTGGAATCAAGGATGTCATTAACCAATGACTTAATGATATCAAGACATATTTGTTTTTAAATAATATTTTATTCTGTTTTAGGTGGAAGTTGGTACAGTAAATTAGATTCCCCTTTTATAATTTTTATACAAATTGTTCAGTACTATTGGTTATGATTTTTACAATGTATCAGCATTTTCCTTATTTCTATTCTGTTTATTCTGTTTCCACTGACTTAGTTTCCCTTCTCCTACTTGCCTTTTCATCCTTGCTTTTGGGTCAATGTTGACCATTTGGCCTTATGAAGTTAATTGTTTAAGGGAGCACATTACTCATGGGTGATATTGTTTATTTTATAAACCAGTCTATATATGGCTGAAATAATAGCAGCAGAAATTACTTCAATTTCAAACACTTTTTTTTTTTTTTTCTTTAGAATGACAGCCCATGACCAAATTATCAATTGACAAGTAAAGGGAAAAAGGGCTTGTGAAGAAAAAAAGAAGAAGAAGAAGAGAGAAAGGGAGAAGGGGGAGGAAAAAAAAAAAAAGAATAATATGCTTAAGAGAAATTATAAATGATTGAATCAAAAATACAGATAAAAGAGTTAGAATGAAGAGCAGAATCTTGGAAGATGATTTTTCATTCTGTACAGAAGCAGATTATTAACAAAAATCTCCCTCTCCTTATCTTCAGCTATGTACATTCCTTCTTTCCCCCCTCTCTCTCCCTTTTTTCTTCTGCTCTCTTCTTTGTCATTCTTTTCCACTTGTTCCCCTCTCCTCTCTGATTTTGCCTTAGGTCTGACAGGATCATTAGTAGCTTCACAAGTGGAGACGCAGAACCTCATAGCTATAATCAACCCAATAACCTAATTTAGACATGAAAGTAGTGATTGTGAGTCCTAGTCAGGGTTCTGCTCATAGTTCAATCAGAGAATGTGTCAGATAATTTCTAGTCTTTAGAGGAATGCAGTCTCATCCTGACTCCTACCTGCTTACAAGAAGTCTGTAATGTTAGTATTATATATACAGTATTAACATAGCAACTTGAAAGTGGGCCCAAATCATCATTCCACTGATTGATTTATTGACTCAGCACCTAAAGCTTCTCTTAAATCACCTGATATTATTTTAACTAATTGTTATACTTTTGCGCGTACTTTGGCCTCATATAATGGTAGCCTTGGCTCTGGATAGATACAGATGTTTATACTGATTATGTGTAATACTATCTGACAGAGATCTTCAAATGTGTCTGTTCAAGTAACTAAAAAAAGTTTTATTTAAAAAAAAATATATGTACTACAATTTTTCTATAGAGATGACTAAACAATTTTGTCCTAAGTGTAAGCAGTTGCAGAGAATGGATTTTAATACTGTAAATGATGGTATTTTAAATGTAGCCTATTGAATCTGAATACCATAGTTATTTGATAAACAATGGCAACCAGTTTTTTAAAAATAAATAAGTTCTTTTATAACAACTGTGAGTTTTATATTACTCTTATTTTGCTATGAACTCTTGTGTTCTGTTTCCATTCAATAGGGCATTCTCTCCATTGGCTCATCCTACTGGAATGTATTTGTAAGTTTTAAATACATCTTAGTATACTTTCAAACTTTTATAGAGCAGTGTATCAAACTTCACTGCAACAAAAATATGTATGTAAGTAGAAATTTTCTTTTATTAAATTTTCTGTAATTGTAAGTCTCTAAATGCTTTTTAAAAAGTCAATTTTTATGAACCGAATTAGCTTCACAGTTACTATTAGTAACAAATGATCAAATATGCATATTTTGAACTCTTTAACATAATATTTTTAAATATGGAAAGTAGAATTTTATTGGAAATGCATTGTGAAGAGATGGTGGAGGCTTTAAAAATGTCCATTCATGAATACTTATCATTTGTTGCTAAAAATGTGGATTCATGGTGATGTGCTGTAGGATAAGCTCTCGATTACAATGTTGATTTGAAACATAAGGCCAGTGGTTCAAATCCACCAGCTGCCTTTTGGAAAACATATAATAATTTGTTTTCAACAAATTTAAGGAGAACCTATAGTCCTGGTGTGGTGATGTGGGTTAATGAGCTGGACTACAAAGTTCGTTTGAACTGCAAGGTCAGCAGTTCAAACTCACCAGTCACTTCTTGGAAACCCTATACAGGGTCGCTATGGGTTGAGACTGACTTGATGGCACTTAACAACAACAATACATGCAGCACTGTAGGATAAAGCACTGGACCACAAGGTCAGTTTGGACTACAAAGTTGGTGGTTCAAACTCTCCAGGAACTCATTGGAGACCCTATACAGGGTCTCTGTGACTTGTAACTGACTCGACTGCACGCAACAGCAACACCATTGCTAGAATTTAACTAGTTTCAACATCATTCTTAGCTTGTTTCTAAGTACTGAGAAATAGATAGATGGTATTGGAGGATTTCTTATTTAGTATCAGATCATTGATTTCTCTATACCTATTCTGAATTATATGTACCAGATCTACAGTATAACTAATCTATCATTAAAATTACTTTTAATGACCTATGAGCTGATAACTGTATTGTTGTTGAGTGCCGTCGAGTCAGTTACAACTCATAGTGACCTTGTATAGGGTTTCCAATGAGTTTCTGGAGAGTTTGAACCACCAACTTTGTGGTCCAAACCAACTTTATGGTCCAGTGCTTTATCCTACAGTGCTTTATCCTACAGCACCACATATATTTTGTTGTTGTTGTGAAGTGTCATTGAGTTGATTCTGACCCATAGCGACCCTATATAGGGTTTCCAAGGAGCAGCTGATGAGTTTGAACTACTGACTTTGCAGTTCAAATGACTTTGCAGTCTGATGTATTAGCCCACAGCGCCACAACACATGTATTAGGGCCTCCTTAAATTTGTTGAAAACAAATTACTGGAAACAGCCTGACTTCCCAGAGAAGTTGTTAGCTTTAGAGCTAATTCTCTTTCTTAAAACTGGCATGGTGATAATGAATTTCCCTTAGTTTGTTATTGTTGTTGTCCAGTGTCATCGGGTTGGTTCTGATTCATAGCAATCCTGTATAGGTTTTCCAATGAGTGATTGCTTATTTTGAATTGCTGATCTTGTGGTTAGCAGTCCAGTGCTTATCCTACAGCACCACACCTTAGTTTAGTGCCTCAGATATCTTTACAATCCATTTCAGTGTAGTGTACCTACCATGGGTGAGAGATGTGACTATTTTTCTTTAAGTGGGAGTTAGGAGAAGAGAACCAGGTTGATACATTAGGTTCATGTGCAGATTGACTTAATGAAAGAACATATATGAATACATGTGTCTGTGAGTGAGGGCGCTTCTAAAAGTTTGTGGAAGAATTCCATTACATTTTAATTCCATTTTTCCATGAACTTTTTGAAACCCACCTGTAGATACATACATGCATACATACTAGGGATCTGAAAAAGGATTCCTTTAAAACTATTTGTGCTTGTACTCTTTGAAGTGTTCATGAATCTTGGGGATCTACGTGCCCTAGTTTGAAGGCCATTTTTATTGTAGCAATTAAACTGGTTTCAAGTTTCTCCAGTTGGTGTAATTTTTAAGTCAAATAATTCATATGCCAAAATGAATATGTAGTCCTAAATTATAATTTGCTTTGCAAATGGCAATGTAGTTTAAAGAAAAATACTTTAGACTTAGACTTCTGGTATGGCGCTGTAAGGTCAGCACTGGACTACATACCACAATGTAATCAGTTCAAACCCACCAGCTGCTCCTCAGAAGTCCTATGCAGAACTGACTCGACGGACTTAACAACAACAACAACTGTAGACTTGGAAGCAGAAAAAGTGAATGTGAGTCTTGGTTCTATGGTTTATATGCTGTGAGACCCTGGACAAATCTATCAGCCTCTCTGTTTCAGGTTCTAATTTATGTAGAATAACAAATGTGAAATTACTGGCACAAAAGATGCTCAGTTGTTTACAAAGAGAAAGCGACAGTGAAAGAGACTCCCCCCCACCGCCCCATTTTAGAGGGTGTGTCCATTGTTGTTGTTGTGAAGTGCTGTTGAGTCAGTTCCGACCCATAGCGACCCTGTATAGGGTTTCCAAGGAGCAGCTGGTGTGCTTGCACCGCCAACTTTGCAGTTCAAACGGCTTTGCAGTCTGGCGCATTAACCCACAGCACCGCTCCAGGACTCCATAGTACCCCCGATGTAAAAACATCTTATTGTTACTATTGTTGATAGCTGTCTAGTGAATACATACTCACGGCAATGCCATGTGGGAAGGGTGGGACTCCACCCTAGAGTCTCTAATGCAGATTAGACACCACCAAGGGACTTAAAAACAGTATTAATCAGTCATTTCTGTAGATTTAAAATTAAGCCACAATCAACTAGATTGGTCTTTAATTTGAAGGGATAAAGAAAGTTTATCATGTTCTTTTTACCTTGCTCATGGTCTCCTTACAGAACCAAACTCAATTGAAAGATAGTAATGACCTTAGATAAACCTAAGAATCCTTGTATATAAGTTCCTTTTCACCCTCTTGATGCTCTTGATCCTTTTTTTTTTTTTTTTTAAACCAGGGCAGTTGCACTGTTAGATCACAAATGAGTAGAACTTTGTTATCTAGCAGAACTGATGTTGTGTTGATGGAACCTCCCATAGATACCTTTCTGGTATTTCTACTTTTAGTTCAGCTGCCTCTATGGATGAGGGCAGTAGCATCAGGCATGCAGATCTCCCTGAAGGAGCTCATTAGGTGAAAGAATTACTTTCTCTTCTATATGATTCTCAAGAGCTAAGAAATCATAAACGTTGCCAGGAGACTCCTCACTTTCCAGGAAGATCGGCAGATCAAATACAACTTTCCAGGACGTATTTTGAAAGAAGCATACCGTTCCCCCAAATTCTACAAAGTAGCCCAATTGCATGAGCCTCACTTAAGATGTAACACATTATTATTGGCTCTTGGAAATATGTCTATGAAAACAGTGATCTTTTTAGAGTGTATGTGGGTCATGCATCACTCTATGATGTAGCTTGTTCTGAAAGACTGCCATACAGAATCGAAATGGGTGAATCAGGGAGGAATACTAGAAAACAGGAGTTAGAGAAACCTGCTTTTGAGGGAGCAAAAATCACCTGAAGAGATGTGTGGGATACTGAACATATTATAGTCTCTACAAGAGCAAGGAAATCAGCTTGAAGACTAAGGTGCACCTTTCCCACATTATGGTATTTTCAGGAACCTCATGTACATGTGAAAGTTTGACAATGAATAAGGAAGACCATAGAAGAATTGATGCATTTGAGTTATGGTATAAGAGAGGAGTATTGAAAGTACCATGGACTGCCAGAAGAACAAACAAATCTGTGCTGGAAGAGGTACAATCAGAATGTTCCTTAGAAGTCATGATGGTGAGATTTTGTCTGTCATACTTTGGACAAGTTATCAGAAGGGACCACTCCCTGGATAAGGATATCATGCTTAGTAAAGTGGAGGGTCAGTGAAAAGGAGGAAGACTCCCCAAAAAAGATGATTGGCATAGTGGCAGCAGCAATGGGCTCAAGCATAACACCAATCATGAGGATGGTGTAGAATTGGGCAGTTTTTTGTTCTGTTGTGTATAGGCTCACTATGAGTTGGAGCTGGCTCTTTAGCATCTAACAACAACAACATACACTCACTTGGGAAGGTTTCCTGTCTTCCTTTCTTGAGTGTCTTGAAAATAAACTGTGTTAAAAGCAGTAACCTGAACAGGATTCTTTCTGGCATTATGAAGGCTCCTAAGAAACTAAAATGTATGTATTTGTGCCAAATGCTGAGAATACATTGAAGGCTAAGATGTTGTCTCTGCTCAGAACAAGCTCATGATTTAAAAGAGAGAGATAAGCAGGTAAGCTAATAAAAGATATAGAAATCTTATAAACATTGAAAAGGGAGCATGTCTAGAGTATAGCATTGGAACAAAGGGAGAGAAGTAAACTTTGGCTATGTCCTGGTTTGACCTGTACCACTTGTGGACTCATTTATACCCTGCAAGTTTCTTTATTTGTAAAGTGGATGTCATTCTATTTACCTTCAGTATCTTTCTAATGTGTGTACACATGTTGTTGTTGTTGTCAGGTGCCATCGAGTCAGAACTGACTCATAGCAACCCCATGCACTGCAAAACGAAACAATGTCCGATCATGGGCCAACCTCACTACTGCTGCCACACTTGAGTCCATCAATGATGCCACCTGGCCAAGCCATCTCATTAGGGGTCTTCCTCTTTTTCTCTGACCCTCCACCTTACCCAGCATGACATCCTTCTCCAGTGATTGTTTCCTCCTGACAATATGTCCAAAGTATGAGAGACAAAGCTTAGCCATCCTGGCCTCCAAGGAGCACTCTGGCTACACTTCTTCCAAAACAGATCTATTGGTTCTTTTGGCAGTCCATGGCACTTTCAGTATTCTCCTACAACACCACAACACAAAAGCATCAATTCTTCTATGATCTTCCTTATTCACTGTCCAGCTACTACACATGTAGTACCTTTGTTTAGTATAAACATTTTGCTAGCGTATAGTGGTAAATAGGAATGTAATAACAGACAGAAATCTAACAGATCAACTCTTTCATTTCTCAACTTTAAACTCTCCAGCTCATTTTGAAGTCCACTAAGACATTAAACATGAGACCTGTTGTGGCGCTGCAGAATAAGCACTGAACTGCTAACATAAGATTGATAGTTCAAACCCACCAGCCACTCCTTTGAAATTCTATAAAGCATTGCTGTGTATCAGAATTGACTCAATGACACTTAACAACAACAACATCAAGAACAAGATATTAAAAATGAGTCCTGGCGTGGCGCTGTAGGATAGACATTGGACTTCTAACTGTAAGATCGGCAGATCAAACCCAGTAGCCACTTCTCAGAAACCCTATACAGGGTCGTTATGACTTGGAACCAACTTGACAGCACTTAATAACAACAATATCAACATGTATGTGGGAAATGTAATAAAATGACTGGATAAGAAAGATAAATTAGAAACTAAATATGTTTATTCATTCATTTAGAAATTTGCATTGATAAAATATGTGCCAGGCACTGTTCTCTGTATGTGATTTCCTGCAGATCATGAAGTGTATGTTCTAAGAGGGATAATATTGTTTTTGTTAAGTGCTGTTGAGTCGAGTTGGTTTCAACTCACAGCGATCCTGTATAGGGTTTCCAAGGAGTGGCTGGTAAGATTAAACCACCTACCCTGTGGTTCAAACAGCCTTTCAGTCCAGTGCTTAACCTACAGTACCACACCAGGACTCTGAGTGAGACAGTAGACATTCAATAAATATTCTTTTGTCATTTAACCTTTAGGGAATGGCTGAAATTTAAGGGAAGGGGCTTATTTTTTCTTTTAGTACTAACTCCTAAAGAGAATATGATTTTTCATAAAACATGTGAAATCTAAGTTGTTATTTGCTCTTCTGCAATATTAGAATACTTGTTATTCTCTCACATGTGGGCAGTATTTAAAGGATTAGTTATAAAAAAAAAGTCTATTTTTCCTCTCTATGATGAAAAATGTTTTTGAAGTTGTTTGCACACCTAGGACCAACTTATTAATAAGCAGTTCTCTGCTGAAAAATATTTATAAAAATAATTGAGTAAAGCAATTGCCATTCTTATAGGGCTATGGTAGCGATGCCAAGTTTGAGACTAATTATACCACTTTTGTTTATAATTGAAGGTCTATCAAGTAATGGCATTTTCGTTTATAAGCCTTGTAATTTTCTGCAGAGAAAGAAAAGGCAGACACTTCTGATGCAAGTAGTATCTGAAGGTTTCAGGCAGTCTCTTCTTCTACACACCCTGTCATCAGAGTTGCAGTCCAAGAGGACTCCCAAGTGACAGCCCTCTTGGGAAAGGCCAGGAAACAGGGCCGCAACTCAAACAACGGTCTCACTACTCTTTTAAAAGGAGCTCCTCCCTGCAATTCCAGTTTCTTTAAATGCTGTTTGACCCAGTTTTGAGGCCCTGTCAGGAGGCTGGTCTATTTTTGAACAGCTGATTAAGTCCGCTGTCCAACCACTCCTCTGTCAGGTTCACATACTCCTAGGTCATGAAGCACCCATTTTAATCACCTGGGGAGAGATACCCAATGACTAAGGATAGCCCTTATGCCCCCTAAACTAGCAGAATTATTCAAACTATCCAATCCACAGGAAGCCTTCATAACCTAGGTTGTCCCACTCTGCTTGCCACACACAAACCCTCTCCCATATTTCCAACTTTCACTATCACTTCCTGGAGTGCAATTCCCCAGATAGCCCTGCATCATGGCGTTCTTACTTCCTTGTTTCTGGGAACTGTAAGTATAATAAACCTAGTTAATTTTAATGGCCTCCCTGCCATCCCACGAATTTGTTAGAACACTCCCTGAATACTTAAGAACATGAAAGGAGGCATAAGACTATGTATTCATGACCCAAATGTTCTCTAAAAATGAGGTGTATGTTTAAAAAGGGGGGGGGGGACATCATAGAGTATCAAAAGCCAAGAAATATTCTTAGGGCAGGATTTTTTTGTATCCTAAAACTCTACAGGTAGATATTATTTAGAAAACAATATTAAAGTTATTGGTTACAGTGACCATACCTTGGGAGCTAAAATTTCTTCAGGTGAGTTTCTCAGCATGGACTTTGCAGGGGTTTGAGGACAAAAGTACATGGGTGTCCACTTGGTCTAAAATATATTTGTAGTTCTTTAGCTATTTATTGTTGTTGTATGCTGTTGAGTCAGATCTGACTCATGGCTACCCTGTACATGGTTTGTGACGCTGTATATTGTTGCAGGAGCAGCAAGCCTCATCTTTTTCCTGAGGAGAGACTGATGGACTTGAACTGCTGACCAGTGGTTCACAGTCCATTGCTTATTCTATGGAGCCACCCTGCTCTCTTAGTCATTTATACCACAACAACAAAATAATAGAGTTCAGATTTGCATCCATGTAATCTTGGTCTAAGACTGCAAAGCCGTTTGAACTGCAAGGTCAAGCTCACTAGTTGCTCCTCGGAAACCCTCTACAGGGTCGCTATGGGTAGCAACCGACTCTACGGCACTTAACAACAACAACAACAACAACAACAACAGTCTTTGCTATGATGAGAATATTAACAGTGAATTGCTGTGGATTAATGCGCAGACTGCAAAGCCGCTTTGAACTGAAAGGTTGGCCGTTCAAGTTCACCAGTTGCTCCTCGAAAACCCTGTATAAGGTCCTATGGGTCGGATTTGATTCAACGGCACATAACAACAACAACAACAACAACAACAACAGCAGCAGCAGCATAACAAGCAGTACTGAAACCAACCATTTTTCTATCCAATGTGTTCTGTTTAGTGGAAATAAAAAGTAAAACTAGATAAAGTGTGATTTCTTTTTTCTCCATTAGTCTATAATTCTAGAAATTTGCCAGACTATAAAATAAATAAAAATACGTTTCTGTTTCACATGTTAGAACCAACATCTTTATGTGTGAGAACTAAATTGTTAAGAGACTAGCTTTTTCTACAAACATTTAAGATAATTGTTTTTAACTCATAATGACACAACAGCTATATGCTCAAGTATTTATTTTTTCAAAAATCAGAATATTTAGCTGAAGTATTTCCATCTCTTATACAATATGAATTGTCCCATAGGTGGACAATAATTTTTATCTAATAAAAGCTACTTAGCTGCTTTATGATCTGATCAACTTGACAAAATACAGGCCTCTCACAGATGCCTTGTGGTTCTTTCCTAATAAAATTTGTATAATCCATAGCATCACTCAGATCTTTAGATTTTCCAACCAAAGGTATGAAGCTAGACACAGACTTCTACTATACAACTATTGAATGGAGATAATTATATAATCATAGAACTGCGGCAG